TACCCCAAAACCGATATACCAAACATGGCCTTAATCCCTTTTAATTCAATTCTCAAAATTGCTATCATATCTGTTCAAAAATCGATTCAATATATTTTTTATGTACCCATAGTAGGTAATATATTGGATTTAAATCAAATTTCAGATCAATCTTAATTGATTGCCTCCATTATGGTGTTGTTAGCAAATACTATTAAGTGTAGGACAATGATTTAGGAGACGATTTTTGAGGGACGATTTTAGGGGACGATTTGCATGGCTTGTTATGTGGACAAGCACATAACCCACTCGCCACGTAGATCGAATTACATGACCAATTTAAGCTTGCCACGTAGATGGTCCTCCCCTTTCATCCCACAAAAGTCGTCTGCTTTATCATTATCCTTAAGTGTAAGGTTAAGAACAGCTCCTCAAAATGTTGCACTTTAAATGTTCGGTGTTGGAAGTCTATCAGACCAAATTGCCATGGCTATAATTGTCACGCCCCAAAACCCAAATTTGAGGTGCGACAGATGTCGTACACTTGTAAGAAGGTCCCACAAATGCACAAAACTTGAAACCTTATTATACCACAATCTGAAGATAAAATTATAAAATTTGCTCTAATATCATAAAATCTCCAAATAAAGTCTAGCTTACAAGATCATGATTTATATCTAAAATCTATATTCAATTTACAAGATGGCTAACCTTCTAACTCGTCACTCTCCTCGTTTTTCCCCGTCCTTGACTTCGCTTCCTGAAATGGTGAACAAGGAAAAACAATGAGATAACTCAGTAAGTAAATATAGACTGCCCTTAATTAAACTTATAGCATGCCTACAAGTATAATCACGAAAAAAACAGGTATGAGTACAAAAATGAAATAGACGTCTCCTCCATAGGTCATGGCCAGTGTTATAAACCTCCCACTGGCAGGCACACGATTAATTAGTGTATAATCCCACTAGCAGGATAACAGTATAATAGAAATGAACTGATTTTATAAGTAACATGTCGACGTGTGCTAGCGTTTATAAACCTCCCACTAGCGGGCACACGAATAACATGACTATATCAGAGACAAAACAAGCAGAAGTTAACAAGAAAATCATAATTTATAAATAATTTTCAGATCATCAGGGCAGTTAAGTAAACTCTGAGAAGGCATGCTCAAATTAATAAAAAGAATAATAATTTCATTTCAAATCAATCATACTTGTGTAAAACGGGTTTAGTCCCGTCACCACTTCAAAAACAAGCTAAAATGAGCTTTAAAATTGGAGGGTATTACCATAATTTACTTACCTCACTCGCATAAAACCGTAGACTCAATCCAAGTTCTAAGTGACCGAAGGATCAAGAACCTAACCAAAATATCCAAAAATTAATAACCATAAGCAATTTCATTTATTTATTTATTTTCATTCACCGGATTGTGTATATATATATATATATATGTACACAAAGACCTATACATAATTTAAATGGAAAAACCCAGCTTTTATTCCAATTATTGATTTAATTATACACAACACATATATACCAAATTTTCCAAATTCACGGACAGAAAAGGGAGAACCAGAACTTTTGCAAAACAATAGCAAATCACGGTGTTTTCTCCAAAAATCACAACAGCCAAAATAAGCTAATTTTTTACATGAATTAAACTTAAAACATGTTCAAAGGCTGCCGGAATTCATCCCCTATTTTAGCAGAAATTCCCGAACAGTACAGGGGCAACAACAAACGGGTTCTTCCATATTACAACAGGAAAATTCAACAGCACAGGCAGCGATTAAATGGTTTAAAATTCAGCTTTAAAAGTTGTCTCATACCAGAATTTGCAGCAAGCAAACTGAAGCTGGTGGGTTTGGGGGAGGTCGACGGGCATGGAAGGAAAAATCAAGAAATCTACCGAAAATTGGGAGAGACCAAGAGAAATTAGAGTAAACGCAAGCCAATTCAAGGAGGAACAAAGGAATTAGTGGCTGTTTCTTACCCAAAAATCAGAGAAATTCGCACCCACACCAAGAGTAGCAGACGGTGAGGAACAGAGCAGAGTAGATCCGGAAATTCTGCAGAGGGGGGGGGGGGGGAGATTTCCAAGCTTAAATCTTGTTCTTGAACAAGAAAAGAAGGGAAAAAACACAAGCTCTCTTACCGGTTTTCTCAAATGGGTGGTGCAGTCGGTGGCGCAGTTGGTGGCTTGCTTCTTGTTTGGTGCAGGGGAGAAAAAGAAGAGCAGAATCGGGCGGCTAAGGAAGAAGAAAGAAGGAAAAAAAATCAACCCATCCTTATCCAAATTTTTTTCTCTTTTAAGTCTCTCAAGTTTAGAAATTTTTGCCATTAAACTCAATAATATTATTTTCTTACAATTAAATCCCTAACTCACTGCTTAAATATCAAAAAATTTGGGATATTACAATAATGCTTTCGCCTAAATTTTACTTAGTATCAAAACGATCACTTTTCATATGTGTGGACTTATATTGACTTTAATAATTAGTGATAACATAAATTTTATATCACTTAAGGTGAATTTTATAATTATAACCCAATAAGTCTTGTTTTGATTGTATTTGCACAAAGCCACATATCTCATTTTATGGGCTCGCTCTCGACAGCACCTCACTACCATCATCGTTTTTCTTTACCATTGCAACTCTCTTTGGTTGGAAAATTGTAAAAATTAGTAAAAAATTATCCAGACAAGAAAAATTGTGACATTTCGATTCAGTAATTGGTTTTCAAAATCTAAAACCCAAAAATTAATTAACCAACATTTCGGTTTTTTTTTTATAAACACTTTTGTTAGCTCAAGTTGCGATTGGAATTGGTTTTCTTTTGACTTCCATGGTTGGCTTGAACAATCCATTTGATCTATTATCTGCATTTAATGTTGAAGCCATGCTTTAATTTAGTCCTCAAATCTTGTATTTTAGGAATTTTATCTTTAAATTTTATCTTATTCACCTAATTATATATTTATGAAAATAATTATCATTACTTTTCTTTTTTGTAAATTTTGTCATTAAATTTAAAATAAAATATTGACATAACAATTAGTAACTCTTTAAAGCTAATCTATTGAATATAAAAATAACTATTTAATCTCTAATATTTTTTACCAAAAAATTAGTAAAAATATCTTTAAACCTTTAACATTTCTTTGTCATTTCCTAAGAAATCTTAAATCATCACCTTTATAGTATCTAAAATTAGTCTAAAATATTCATTACAATTACTAATAGTATCTATTTTTTTGGTCAAATACTAAAATTTTACCTTTAATTCAAACATTTTTATTAAATCAAATTTATTTATTTTATTTTATTATTTGCTATATAAATTTTTGATCTGCTTCTAAATTTCTTTCATTTTAAAAGTGTTTTATTATATATTTTTTCCCCTCAAATATAACTAAATATTTATTCACTAATCACCAAAATTTTCAAATGACAATATATTTCACATTGAATATGACCAAGTTTGATTTTAAAGACAAGTTTACAATTTTATAATTATGTGTTACTTTCTTTGGTCCTTCTTAGTTGCTCAAGTTCATCAATTTTATGTTAATTAACTTAATGATTTCATATTAACAAATTAATGAAAACTAATTTTTTTTTATCTAAGTGAAAATATTCAACAGAGACCATGATACGGAAAAAGGGTTTTCAATTGCCATCACTATTTGTTAAATAAAATCATCAAATCAAACTTTATGCAAAAGTCAAATTAACACAACTAAAATAGATTAAAAAATTAGTACTTTGAATAAAATTTGATTTAAATGTCAACAAAATTGGCTCCCCTCATCTTAAAACTTGGCTCCGCCACGATCTGCATTCCTTTCTGTCTAATTTTATTTCTTACCTTTTGTCTTCCTTTTATGGGTTTTCTTCTTTAATTTCTGTTTCTCTAAAAAATGATTTTGGCCTCATCATTTATAGAGCTATTAGGGGCTTAGTTCACTGTTCATTGAGGTTTCAATTGATTTACGTTGCATATTTACCCTTTGTTTCTTCTTGGTTCAGTTGCAATGTTTCATTTGCTGGGAGCTATTCTTTTTTTTTTTTTTTTTGGTGCAAGCTGGGAACTATTCTTTGTTCATGTTTTTAATGTCTTTTATGATTTTAGTTTGAGTCTCTACATTGCTGTTTCTTTGACTGGGTACTCCACTTTGTTAGCTTTTTCACTCTTATAAGTTTCTTTTTAATTGTGTGTTCTATTTTTCTTGAACTAAGGACACAATGAAATTTCAAAATCATATCATGCAGGAGAAGCTAGTTGCCGAAGGATGAGATGTGTAGAATGGATCTATGATTGTTTCTGGTCTTTGAACACATAATGTGATGTCTTTGTATCTAAATGCTTCTAAACTTAATGTATTTGGTAACAGTGTGTGGGAAGATTAGTTGCATGATGATGCAGGAGACTCAGTTATTGTTCCTACTTATGTTGCAAATGCACATCTAAACTTTTAAGGATTGAATAACTACAGAAGAATCTAGCCATAATCTTGGTGTTGTGTGTGATGGTCGGTGTCTTTCTTTTGATTCGAAACTTGCTTTGAAATGCAAACTTCTAAGTGAGTAATTGGATGCCAGTGAAGTTGTTTTGCAGGTTTGGGTACATACTGTTGGTAAGAATGTCAATAGAGATTGTTATGGAATCAATGGTTCTGTTGTATCCAAAAGAAAAAAAAAAAGAAAAAAGAAAAAAGAGGAGAGAAAAGTGTTATCTCTAAACCTGTCTTGATTTTCTTTCGAGCTATCTCCGAAATGGGGGCATCAAATTGAGAAGTAAGTCATTGGTGCTAGTTAGCAAATTCATATGAATACTAATACTCAACTTAGGACTCAAATTGGGTCAAATGTTAAAACAACTGTCCAAAAAATAAAAAATAAAATAAAATAATAAAACACAACAAAGTTATTATTGTTAAATTTATAATATTAATTGAAATTATTATCTTTGTATATTAACCCATTGTCAAACATATATAGCAAAAAATATGCAAAACTACTGTACCATGATCATGAGCCCTTATGTTAGTTTACCAAGCAAATGATAACACTAAAAAAATAAAACTAAGGGAATACCTCCTTACTTGAGTTGCAACATCCTTCGTTGAATTTCAACTTGAATTCATCATGTCTCCTTGCGTGAACCTTTTTCACAAACTTCAATTTCTACTTCTATTTCACTCATAGTAAACTAATTATATTACAATGAATGGAATACTTGCATTACATGCGAGGGAAGAGGTAAGAAGAGAAATACACAATAATATGAGGAACGCAAGACATGCAGAACGTAAGACAGGCAGGCCCTATTTAAAATTTATATCCCAATAATCTAAAATAATTCCATATGCTTGGCTCATGATAATGCATCGAACAATCTACTTGTTGCATAAAATAAATTTACCTATTATTTTACAACAACGTATTTTTTTCTTTTTGTAATTTAATACTCCTTAACTCAAAAAATTAATTCACTAATTAATTTGTTTTATACTTATAAGAAAAATCAAATTAAGAAGAGATGCTTTTAAAACTAAAAAATCGTAGAACATGACACCAGCCATGCACAGTTTTGCAGCCAACAGTCACTACTAAAATTTTCACTTTTAGCAATAACTTATCAACAACATGGGTGTCCTTGCTAGTGAAAATCTATATCACTGACAAAGATTATATTGCTGAAAGTCATACAGTGTATTTCTCTACTTAAAAGGCTGCACCACTTTCAGCAAATTTAAGCAACAAGGGATATGTTGCTGAAAGTGAATTTCAACAATATACCCCATGTTGCTGTAATTTTTCGGTCATTATATAGTGCATATTCCCACCTAGAAGTAAGCCCCACTTTCAGTAATAAGAGGTACATTGTTGAAAGTGAATTTTAGCAACAAGGGACATGTTTTTGTAACTTTCCAAGCACCTAGAGTGTCACGCCCCAAAACCAGGAGCGAAACAGATGCCATGCACTCATGACCGGGTCCTACAAATGCACAAAGTTTGGAACCTACTGTGTTCATAATTACCAATTACATAACTTAAATCAAAAGCTCGGTTAATATCTAGCTTTCCATTACCAAATTTTACTAGTCAAGATGTACAAAAGTTTATAAGACAGTCATGGCTATAGTCAAAGGAAACTTAGTATACAAAAAAAAAAAAAAGATTAATCATTTTACATCTATGTCAAGCATGTGTGGCTAACGGCTTAAGTCCAAAAAGAATCTAAGTCCAAAATACTGACTAGCCTTCTAGCTCGTCATTCCCCCTAGTTAACCGTGCCTCAGGTTTCACTTCTTGAAATGGTGGACAAGGAAAACTATGAGATAAGATATCTCAGTAAGTAAAAATATGGGTAGCCCATGAGTAAAATTTAGGCATGCTTGATAAACAATTTAACATAACAAACGTTCAATGATAAATCGTTAATGCAGAATAAGATTCAGTAGTAGTCTATCTATAAGTCAATAACAAAGCGTTCAATAATAAACCGTTAACGCAGAATAAGATTCAGTAGTAGTCTCATTTATAACTCATGGCCAGTGTTTAACAACTCCCATTGGCAGGCATCAGCTTCAGTAATAACCAATGTATTATTCCATTGGCAGGATTACAGAATGAATCGGTTCTATTGGTATACATGTCGACATGTGCTAGCGTTTGCAAACTCCCACTAGTGGGCGTTAGTAATCAGTAATCATGACTATATTAGAGACAAAACCATGCAGGATGTAATATCCCAAATTTTCTGAAATTCTAGCATTTAAGTTGAGGACCTTTGTGCGAGGAAATATTATTTTGGGGCTTAATAGTGAATATTTCGAAACTTGAGGGATTTAAAAGAGTAAAAATTAGGATAAAAAGGGGTAAGGCTGCTAATTTTTCCTCAGCCACATGGGTCATCTTCTTCCCCGTTGTAGCCACACGAAAGAAGAAAAAAAAAAGGAACCAAGCTACCGGCAACAACCTTTGAGAAAACCGGTAGGAAGCTTGGATATTTCTCCTTCTTTTCTTGTTCTAGGACTGAAATTAAACCCAGAAATTCCCCCCCCCCCTCTGCAGAAATCCGGATCTGCTCTGCTCTGCTCTGCTCTGTCCGTTCGGTGGCTGCTCTTTATTGTTGGGTGTGATTTTTTTGGTTCTGGTAAGGGGGAACAGCCATTAAATTCTCTTTTCTCACTTGATTTTGCTTGGGTTTACTCTAATTTCCCTTGGTTTTTCCAATTTTGGTAGACCCCTGAATTTCTCCTTCATTCCCGTCGGCTTCCCCTAGCTTGCAGCTACGGTTTTTGCTGCTGAATTCTGGTATGTGACAGCCATTTTAAGCCTTAAATTATCCATTAGCTGCTGAGCTTGTCCATGAATTACTGCCCCATGTGCTGTCCGAATTTTGTTGAATTAGGCGGATGAATTTCGATAGCTTTAAGTGGGGTTTTTGTTTAATTTAAGTGGAAATGAACTTGAGTAGTTGCTGTAAATTTTTGGAAAAAATAGAGTAATCCCGTGAGTTGTTGATTGCCAAAGCCGGTTCCTCCGTTGCGTTTTTAGCTATATATATATATATATGTGTATTTGTGTATATATATATCATGGTTTTAAAACCCGGCCCGGCCCGGTCGGTTGAACCGGTTGAACCGGACCCGGGCTTAAAAACGGGCCGGTTTCATGCATTGGCCCGTTTTGCAAGTTGGCCCGCTTTAGCCCGCCAGACTCGCCAGACCCGCTCCAAACTCCCAACCCGTCCCACCCGCCGGGCCATCCCTCTGCCTCATCCCTGCTCCATCTCCCGTGAGTTCATCGGCATCTCACCACAACAGTCACCACCTCATCACCTCCGACAAAGTGGCCTGATCTCCCTGCTCCACTTCCGTCAAGATCTCACCAGCAGTCACAGCCTCATCTAGACATGGAGAAATAAAGAAAACTCTCTGCAAATTGTAAAACCCAGAACAGAAGAAAGGAGTGAGAAACAGAAGGAACCATGGACGAGCTCCAGATCTCAGCCACCTCCGTCGACGGCAACACAACTCAGCGTCCAGCCGATCGTCCTCATCACTCATCTCCTCTGCCGAGCAACACAGAAAAACAGAACAAAATCAACAGATCATCCTCATCTACCTCATCTCCTCCGTCGAGCACCTCCTCCTCCTCATCTCCTCCGTCAATCACGGCATCTTCATTTGCCTCATCTCCTCCGCCGAGCACCTCCTCCTCATGTCCTCCGTCGATCATGGCGTCCTCATCTGCCTCATCTCCTCCACCGCTCCTCTTCTTTTCCTGCCTCCACTGAGCAGAAGCAGCAGCAGAAATCAGAATCTGCAACAGCTCATCGAACATATCGTCAAAAATTGAAAAAAGTGTATTTTTAGGTTGACCGGTTGGACCGGTCGAGTGAACCGATTCAACCGGTTAAACCAGACCCGGTGGTCAAAACGGGTCAACCACCGGGCCGGGTCCAAAAACATTGATATATATATATATATGTATATGTGCACAACCTGATTTTAGTGCTCAATTCTCGGAAAGTAGGAAATAAAATAAAATAAGGAAATAAAAATTGCATTATGGGGGTTAATTACCGGCAATATTAGAAAGGATTAACTATGTAATTTTTATATGGGTATTAATTTTTGAATATTTGATTAGGTTCGTGATTGTTCTGTCACACGAGCACTTGGATTGAATCCTCGGTTTTGTGTGATTTGAGGTAAGTAAACTTATGGTAATGCCCGTACAGTTTTTAAAAGCATATTTTGACTTGTTTTTGAAATGGTGGTGGGACTAAACCCGTTTTATACAAAAGTAAGTATGGCTGATTTGAAGTAAAATTTTTATTCTTTTCATTAAATTGAGCATGCCTACTTGAAATTTAATTGATTATCTTGATGATCTGAAAGTGATTGGTGAATTATGGTTTTTCTGTTAACTTCTGTCTGTTTTGTCTCCGATGTGGTCATGTTATTAGTGTGCCCGCTAGTGGGAGGTTTATAAACGCTAGCACATGTTGACATGTTATTGATAGAACTGGTTCGTTCGAGTGACCCTGCTAGTGGGGGTTATATACCAGCAAATAGTGTAGCCTGCTAGTGGGAGATTTATAACACTAGCCATGACCTATAGAGGAGACGTCTATTTCGTTCCCGTATTGTATCCGTTTTTCGTGATTACATTTGTTGGCATGCTATAAGTTTAACAAGAGGCACTCCAGATTTACTTACTGAGTTATCTCATAGTTTTTTCATGTCCACCATTTCAGGAAGCAAAGTCAAGGACGGGGAAAAACAAGGGGAGTGACGGGTTAGAAGGTTAGCCATATTGTAAATTTGACATAGATTTTAGATATAAATCATGATATTGTAAGCTAGACTTTATTTGGAGATTTTATGATATCAGAGCAAATTTTAAGATTTTTATCTTCAGATTTTATGGTATTAGATTGTGGTATGATAAAGTTCCGAGCCTTGTGCATTTGTGGGACCCTCTCACGAGTGCACGGCGTCTGCCACGTCCACGGATTCGGGTTTTGGGGCGTGGCACAAGATTTATAGGAAAAATCCGTAACTCACAATCAATCTCAAATTTCAAGAATAAACCTGAAAAATTCCATGTGGGCATGCTCAACCCCAAAAATAATAAAAATTTCCATTTCCATTCTAAACATGCTCAGGTGTTAATAAAATCAATTTAAACCTTATCACCATCTCAAAAACAATTTAAAATATGTTTTTACTTGAAACCGAATGGCGTTATCATAATTTACTTACCTCAGTTGCATAACACAAAAATTCACTCCAAATGCTAGGGTGACAGAATAATCAATAACCTAACCAAAATATTCCATGATTAATAACCATACTACCACGGATCCAAAAGAAATCACCACCATGACTACCCCCTAATCATGACGCCATTTATATCAACATGGATAACTCATGTATTCCACGAGATTTTCTACTCCAAACAATTGAAATTCAGTGTATGAACAGTAACTGCAACTTCTATAAATTTGGCAAGGAGTAGAAAATTCTAAGGAAAAATAATGCAGAGAATAGCAAGGAAAAATGCAGTAAAATGCAGAATTTTTCAGGGTTATAACAGTGCAGAAAATAGTAAGGAATATGCAGAAAAATGCTGCAACAATTTGCAAAAAAACAATAGCAGATGCAGAAAACACAGCAGCAATTTTGTAGAAATGCAGCAACAAAACAACATAATTTCCTGCGTGAACAGTAAAATTTTATGGCAAAAATAGTAGGATTTTCTAGTAAACAGCAGTAAGAACAGCAGAAAAATTGCAGAGAAAAACAGTAGCGAATTTGCAGAAAACGCAGCAAAATTCTGCACCACAACAAGTACAATTTCTGGACACAAACAGCAGATAGTTTCAGACAAAAACAGCAGCCAATCAAGATAATTTCTACATGAATCAAGCTGAAAAAAAATGTTCTAATTGCTACCGGAATTCATCCCCTATTTCAGCAACAATTTGGACAGCACAGTGGCGGCAGTTAATGGATAAACTCAGCAACTAATGGGTAATTTTGGGACTTAGAAGGAGCTGTCACATACCAGAAATTCAGCAAGCAGAATCGAAGCTGGCGGGTTGGGGAAACCAGCGGGAAGTGAAGGAGAACTTAGGGGGATCTACCAGAAATTGGGAGAAACCAAAAAAAATTAGAGTAAACCCAAGCCAAATCAAGGGAGAAAAGAGGAATTACTGGCTGTTTCCTTACCAGAAACTTGAAGAATTCACACCCACAAACCAAGAGTAGCGGACAGAGGGGAAGGAACAGAGCAAATCTGAAATTTTCTGCAGGGGGGAAGATTTCTAAGTTCTAAATCTTGTTCTTGAATAAGAAAAGAAGGGAAAGAATCAAGCTTTTACCGTTTCTCAAGAGGGTGGGTGTGTCGGTGGCTTGGCTTCTTGTTCGGCTTTTACCGTTTCTCAGGGGAGAAGAAGAGCAGAAACACGCAGCTGAGGAAGAAAGAAAGAAGAAAAAATTTCAGCTGATCCTTATCCAAATTCTTTTCTCTTTTAAGTCGCTCAAATTTGAAAATTTTATGATTAAGCTCAACAATATTATTTTCTCACAATTAGGTCCTTAGCTCACACTCAATTGTTCTAGAAATTTTTGGGGTATTACATAGAGCATTAGCAACATATTCCTTGTTGCTGTTATTCTTATACTTTTTTTAAACCAAATATCAGCAACAAGGAATATATTGTGGATATTCTTGCTTTGATTGATAGTTGGCCAAAACCATTATATATACACCTTTACCATTATATATATAGTTGAGTTGACTCGCCATGTGAAGAGTCAACTCTTAATGAGAAAAATTCCACTTTCATTTTTAATAGTGGACTCTTAAACAAAAAAATATTTTATATTTATATGTGAAATATTTCTATAAACTCAAAAGGATGTCTACATTATTTTTTAGCTAAATTAGAGATTTAAATCATTTAAATAAAAAGTAAATAATGTAATTATATTAATTAATGTGTTAAATGTTATGTATTATTTAATAAAGTTAAAAAATCAACTAATAAATTAAATTTTAGAGATAAAA